ATTTACTTCTTAATCTCATCCTGCTCTAATTTTTTTCTGTCTCAAATATCACTAAAAATAGTTTTCATTCATGGTATAGATTATAGACTCTAGTAAACAAGAGCCTTTAGGGGAAAGTACTTCTCTTCACAGATACATTTTAATATACTCACTAATGGGATGCTTTAAAACTTTTTGATGATGCCACTGAAATCCATATATCTAGGGTTTAAACTTCATCTTCCACTGTTAGACAGAAAGAGCTGAGAAGGAAAACTGGTTCCAAGAAGTGAACAGGCCTTTACTGAACAGCCATGAGAGGCAGACAACAGCAGTTACCTCTCCAGAATACGAAGGATGTCACTTTAAAAGATTTAGGTGCACTTGATCTAAGCTATGGCCTTCATAATTGCTTGCTATGCATCTGAAAGTTGGACAAAGAATAAGGACAAGAGAAGAAGAATCAATGCCTTTGACTTGTGGTGCGGAGATTACAGAACATTCCATGACCTGCCAAGAGCACAAACAGGTCTGTCTTGGAGAAAGTGAAACCAGGATGATCCTTGGAGGCAGGTTAGTGAAATGTTGTCCCATGCACTTTGGACAAGTTGTAGGGGCCAGTCCTTGGAGAAGAGCATCATTTTGGGAAGGTGGAGGGCGGGCATAAGAGAGGAAGAGCCTCTATGAGATGGGCTGACCAGTTACAGTGACTGTAAAAAAGAGCTCAAGTGTCTCCATGGTGAGGATGGCCCAGGACAGGGCAGGGTTCCGTCTTAGTTCACTGGGTCATGATGAGTCACTGTTTATTCGATGGTACATTAGCAACCAGAACTTACCTACTGAGAACTATCACAAACCCACAGTCACTATCCTTTTTCTTAACTAAAAATGATTCTGCCTTGTTTTTCTATAACTTTGCTCTGCCTGGTGTGAGGGCTGAAAGTTCAATAGGAAGATTTGTTTCTCTTGACCTGATTCAGTAAGCAAGTCTGTTTAACGTTTATTTTAAAAACTGGTACGTCATCTGACCAGAGAATGTCTCAGATTCATGTTGCTACATGCCTGTCAAGTCAGAACGACTCAGAGCTGATTCTCCAGTGGGATTTCAGAACCTATAAACCACAAAGGAGCAGACTGCTCATCTCTGTCCTGTGAAGTAGCTGGTAGATTCAAACTAACTTCCTTTGGACTGGCAGGGCAACTCTTTACTCCTTAGGCCACTAGAATTCCCATTAGACTTCTTTTGTCTTGTGCCGCTGAGAAGCTGCCACACAGCTGACCCTCCACGGAGACTTTCACAGGCAGTAAACTGCCTGAGAGGAGACTACCCAACCTTCTCCCATGAAGCAGCTGGTGGATTTGAACCCCTACCTTAAAGCCAGCAGCACAACTCCTTATCACTAAGGCACCAGAACTCACTGGTGACCTTTTATAGTGATCTATATAATTTACTATAAAATTAACTTTCAGTTTCATTTTAAACGATGTTTCCTATCGCGAAAGAAGTACAGTCAGGTCCCTCGTACGCACGTGGAGAAGGGCACAGGGCACTGTGTGGCTCTATGGTTCTCTAACCTCCTCATAACAATGGTGATTCTGAGGACACAGCTGCAGCCATTCAGTCAATCTATCAGGACAGTCAGCCTCCTTTCTGCTGACCGCTTACCAAGCACTGTGACACCCTTTCTCCAGATACTGTCCCCATAACACAGCCTAGGAATACTTAAAGCTTGTTATAAAGCACTTTATTGTTTAAATTATCAGCACTTTTATTTATTTTTTTTTTAATTTAAGAGAACTTTTGGCCTTTGAGAAACATTGTCTTGGAAGTATAACATATACTGAAAGCAGAGGTTGTCCAATCTTTTTTTTTCTTTTCCCCATTTTCTCTACAATACAGTATTTCTAAGTCCACCAGTCTATGGTTGAAAAGAGCCAGTCATGCCACTACAGAAATAACTGATAGGGAATTTAGGTTATCCTTAAACTTGTACTAAAGTTTTTAAAATACAAGCAAGAACTGTTATGACTCACATCTCTTCAAGTTAAATACTTAGTTCCTTCAGTTGCATATAGTGGCTTTACATTTTATACACTGGATTCTACTCTGAACGTGAATCAGAGGTCTTTGCTGACATTTTCCTCCGAGCACAATGGTTGGAAGACAAGAGTCCACGTAGGGAATAACATCCCAGTAAAGCCCAGAGTCATCTGACTTGTTACTTTTCATAAAATGTCCTGACAGCACAAGTACTTGGCTGTCACATTCTTTTAGTTACTGGGAGTTTATGACACAGTAAAAATTAGTGTCTACTACTCCTAAGCTGCTTACTTGACCAGCTCTCTTTCACGTTATTTTCTATCCAACTGATTTATATCTTACTGAAGGTCATGTGTAATTAACTACATTTTTGTAATTTCATTTTTATAGTAACTATGAAGAATAACCGAAAACTTACCGGAGAGTCAGTTATGGGTCAGTTCCTACTAGACAGTACACAACATCATGAAGAATATAAAATGTTAACAGAATACGTACTCTAGCTCATTGTCAAGTGACAATGTATTTTTACTAGGAGTTTGTTTAGAACAAGCTATCATTTGGTACTCTAATCCAAAAATAATTCTACTCTGTATATTTTAAGCTCTATTTTCACAGTCCTTTTCTTCTTTTAAGGTTTTATTTACCTACTCTTAGGCTTCTGTTAAGTGAGTTTAGTACTGCCAATTGGAAGGCATGTGGTTTGAATCTACCAGCTACTCCAGAAGAGAAAGGACAATCTCCAGAGTGTGATTTTAATGCTTCTGAAAATCTGCTGGAGGGTCACCTATTGGTCAGATCTTACTCAAAGGTACATAACAGTGACATAAAAGGCTTCTGTTAAAGAGCTCTGGCGGCAGAGCACACAGCCTGTTCTACTAGCGAGAGGCTGGGTCTCTAGTTCAAATCCCCAAGTGGCTCTCAGGAGAACAACGGGCGGCCTCTTCCCTCTAAGACAGAAACCTGATAAAGATGCTCTGAGTGGGAATTGACTCAGTGGCAGTTAAGTGTGGCTTTTGTTAGAATCCCCGGGTGACACAAATGGTTAAGAGCTCAATTCCTAGCCAAAAGGTTGATAGTTTTAGCCTACCCAAGAGACTTCTTGGAAGCCACGCCTGGCAATCTGCCTCTAAAAGGTCTTACATAGCAGTTCTACTCTCCATACACGAGGTTACCATGGGTCAGAATAAACAGGAAGCTTCTAGCAGTTTTTACTTTCAAATAAAGCTCGCTGTTTCATGTACCAGCAGCACCACAGCAAATTCAGGCCCTGAGAATACCCTCTGGATAGACTCACTTCAGACCCATCTTTAAGCCAAAAAAACTGACAAACTCCAAACAGTATTGTTTCAAATTTAGTCTAGCAAATACTATGTCAGTCATCAATAAAAGGTGCCCATTTAGAAACATTTTCTATTGATCTCTAAATCATCACTGAGAAGTCATATGTAATTCTCCAAACTCAAATTAACAAAATAACAAACACCATTTTCCATGAAACAAAAACTGTTACATTTTGGGTTTTATTTTAAGGTAGCATATGCATAGTATGAAGATGGGTTTCCAAAATGTTTTTATCTGTACAAAGACTCAAGAGAGATATTTGGAAATGTGTTAACTTGTGCTTTTCTGGAAATTATTTCCTGGATTGTAAAGATCTGGAGGGATAGTTTTCCAACCCTCTTCATTTTTTCATACACTGTCTAAATTCTTAAAATACTGATTTTTATAAAGACAATAAGGCCTACCATTCTTTAATGCAAACAAAACACTCCCTGTTACTCTTTTTTCCAAGCTTTGCCATTCTGCAGTGTTCTGTCAAACAGTAACTTCCTTTCTGGACAGAACGAGGTATCAACTAGCAGCTTTCCCAGCTGTTTTCTTCCCTTCTCCAAGAAAGACTCCTCAGCAAAACCACGTGAACTCACATCATGGTTGACGGCAGACACACAGAAGAGCAGTGCTGGCCTCCTAACCCTCGGGATGTGAGCACTCACCGTGGATGTTGGTTCTATCACCATCTATCACAGTCAAAACCCGTAAAGCTGCCACAGAAAAGACAACTTTTCTGAAATTTGCTTTCTGTTTCTTTACTGGAATAAGTTGATCCCAAAGTGTTTACACCATTTAGAGTAGGAAAAACAGCAACCATTCAAGGATCCCAAACTCTTGTACACACGCAGAATCTGGTAGCACAGTATGTTCCAGAAACATGAAGGTATCACTTGAATAATGACTTAACTTCATTTAGTATAAACACTAAATCTGTCCCAACAGTAACCTTTACTCTAGAATTTGGAAACTGGAAAAGAAAAATAAAATAGCTTGAGGCAAGCTATTAATACGATTTTCATTCTAACAACACTGAAACCTATTTCACTGGGAGAGGGAGAATGGCGAGCGACTGCTGAAGGTGCAGAGCTTCCTTTTAGGAAGAAGAAAAAGGTTTCTAAGTGGGCTTTGTCATAATGGTTACATAACTCTTGTGAATATATACTGGGAAACAGTGACTTGTACACCTCAAAAGGATGTGGTGGAGTACACAAATGACATCTCAATGATAAACTGTTAAAATCACAATTAAAAAGAAAAGGAAGGAAAAGCTATTTCTCTCTCTCTCTCTCACACACACACACACAGAGGCTATTACTGGGTATTACATAATTTCTAAAATATTGATAAAATGCACGTCAAAATCCTAGTCTGTAAGAGGAAGAGGCAAATATGAAACTTTTCTATAGCTGAGCTAGGTAGGCTTCATGGTATCACTATAAACCACTTGCAAACAAAAGATAACTCAGCAAGAACAAGTCCTTATTCATTAGATCACAACCACAGAACAAACAGAAAAGGCCTAATCAAATACAAGCTCATCAATGATTTCTTTAGAGAGAGAATTAGTTGAAAAGAATCTTGAACTAGAAGGCTTTGTTCCTACAAACAAAACATGAATGCAATCCTCAACAGCGAGAGCACTTACTCATCATACTCGATATGATAAATAACGTCTTCAGCAGCAGCAACAGAGTCTGAATTAGATGTAGAGGGTACACCGTCCAATGTGTTTGTGTTCTCTTTGGAACTGTGATTTACATGTCCACGAGTCCTTTTGTAAGAAATGTTGTTCTTCAGTGGAGTTTTGCCACGTGCATGTTTTTCAGAAGCTCTAGTGACGCTACGTATATGTGCCTCAAACCAAGCACCAAGGCTGACATCTCTGGCATCCACCAATTCATTGACCTAAAAGAGTTTAAAATAGTTAATGAAGCTTAATTTCAACTACTACTTCAAAACCTTAATACAAAACTGTATTTGCAGCTATTCATATTTAAATTGATTAAAAAATACCAAATAAAATATGTTTCTCTGGATTTTATTACCTTTCATTTACTTTTTTACTAAAATGAATTCTCACATACCTAAGAATCATTCTAGAAAGTCATCCATTAAGAATGTCACTACTAAAATGTCAGACCTTCAACTCTTATTCTAACTGTAATTTGCTCTATTACTTTCCCATTGCTAAAGACAATTTATAATAACTAACCAGAAAATAGTTAAGTACTAAAACAGACAATAAAACTTGAAAATGAGGAAATTACATAAAAACAAAGAGTTTTTGTGAATGCATTTATACAAAACAGTTAAGATCTACCTTTGCAAATAATTTATTCACTCTCTCAAAGAAGAAACAAAATGTAAAACGGGTCAATCTAAATCTGTTTTAATTTGGCAAAACTACATTTTCTGTGCAAAAAGCATTGTTCCAAGACGTAAACTAAATGCAGTCCAGTCTAATGGGAGATGCCAATGACATCACATCACCTCACTTAAGGAAAAACAGAGTATTAGAAAGTAGATACAAACTAGAAAGTTAGAAACTAAGAAATGGAAGCAGATGAAGAAATCTCTTAAGAAATTATGAGTACAGTGTCAAAAAGGTCAGGAATTTTTAAGGTAAATAACTAAGAGATCTTCCTTATTTAAAAAAATATCTTAAAAAGAAAATATGCAATCACCAATACAAGATTACCATCTAATTATGCCAGGTCTTCCTCGAAATAAAAGATCCATTAAGGACCTAATACAGTCTTACAGACAGCATCACCGGGGCTGGGGGAAGGTAACATATTAAAACTTAATTACCTATACACCAGTTATGCAAGGTTCTTTATGTTCATCTAACCTTAATATCCTTAACAATTACTTCTTTACAAGATTTGGAAACAAAGGACTGGAGACATTAACCTCCTTCAAATGAAAACTAATAAAATGCAAAACCAGGATCTGAAGACATCTTGATGCTATGCTCTTGCCACTGTATCATGAAACTGGACATAACAGTACAGAAGTATGTATTTTTACTTTTAAGGAAAGTAATGAATATAGAAATAAGATATTAAAGAATATAAAATGGTTTCAAAACACCAAGATGACACAGAGAAGGTAGAAACTAGCAGACTGACCCAGTCTTTGACACCTCAATCAACACTGGACCACACAACTGGAGTTAAATCTCATTGCATCCAACAGTAATTGAGTCATAGCTGCCCCCTCCCCTTAACTGTTCTTAAAGCTGTAAAGCACATGGGAGGAGACTGCCCATCTTTCTGCCATCAAGTCACTGGTGGATGAGAACCAGCGAAGAGGCACTGCCTTTGCAATAACAGTAAAGTGCCTACAGACACCACCACCAGAGATAATGCCATTGCTTAAACATCACATATTAGTTTAAGTATAAGAAGGGGGGGGGAATCCAAACCACCTAGAGAGGAAAAAACAGAAACAAGCACTCTTAGTTTTAGTCTTTATTATAAGCATGGGAGCTCTGTGGCCTAGTGGTAATAAGCTGCACTACAATCCCAAAGGCACATGGTTCAAATCCACCAGATGCTCCACAGGAGAAATATGGGCCATCTGCTCCCGTGCAATTTACTGGCTCCGAAAAAACAAGTAGGACATAACAATTATGAAACACAGGTGCCATTCATGGGAACAGTGCCCTACATCCCCTTCAGATCAGAGTGGCAATCATTTCAAAAGCAGGGTGTCATTAGTCAGGTACACCTTTTGTATCCAAACACTAAAATTAAAATCAACCTAGGCATCAGAGTCTACACTGTTTGAGAAACAAATTTATTTCAAACTCCAATTCAGTGTGCTATGATTTATGTGACTACAACTGGGACGTGGAGAATCCAGCACACCACAATCATACATTAAGTCCAAAAATGACATAGAGGTCTGATTTCTTAAAAATAATACGAGGAGATAAGAAGCTGATGAATACCACTCAAGGTTATAAAATAAGGGAGAGCAAGAATGAAAATAGTTAATAGCTTCAGTTTAAAATTTCATTTAAAATCATTAAGTTTAAATTTTTTATTAAAGTTAGAGAATTTCTTTTAGTTCACATGTATCAAGAGATCCAAAGAACATTTTAAAAGAACCAAAAACCTGCTCACATATAAAATAACTTTCATTAAAGCAATTGCTGTGTCTATGAAAGGAAAATCTTTATAAATCTTTACAAGGCAAGAAAGCATGATAAAGGCACCAAAGTGGAATAAAATTGTCTCTAGCTTTGTAAATTATCTATAAACAATTCAATGAGAATCTGATACACTAACTACTCAAACTGTCCAACTATGGAAAATAGATCAAATTCACAACTAAGCAATTCAATAGCAAGAGCTTCTATACTTATATATATATAGCTTCTATATATGTTCTGTTCAATCAAAAGAAAACATTCATTTTTAATAAGTGTTCTATGAAATTTGTTTCTATCTTTATTGCTAATTCTGAGAACAACTAGGCAGTAGATACTCAAGTATTCACTGAATGGGTGGACGCACTGTTCAGGAACCAAGCCAGCACTTTTACACAGACAGAAAACAGCACACACTATAAATGACTGACCGTTACTGTGCTTCACCAGAAAAGTATCTACATCTGTTAACCTCTTCAACTAGTAAGGAAAGCTAAATATAGTTTTATATTAGATAAGTAACAGCTCATCCTTTTGAGAGTTTAAGTGTTAGGTTCCGCAGGGTTCACAATGAAGTCACAGTCTTAATGAAAAGCATTAATACAGGCAGTCCGTAAGTGACTGAAATTTTAAAGTAGCTGTAACAACAAAGTTAGTCTTTTAAACATCTTCATGTTAATATGAGATATTTAAAGAAAGCAGCTACAGTAGTGCATCAAGAGCAAAGATCTGAGAAGTGATTTTTCTACAGCATTCTTCTGAATAAGATGAGGGGGAGAGAGAATGGTTGGTTGAGCACTGCAAAACTTACTAAACAATGTATGACAACAATCTGGAATGAGGGGTGTACTGCAGGGTGGGCTGACGGGGAGAGGGAGGAAGAAAATGTGCAACAATGGGGAAAATGAAAATAAACCATTTTTTATGTTAAAAAAAATTAGAAACTTAGTAAACATAAAGAATTTCAGTTGACCTGAGCTGACTTACTTTGATCTGCATAAAAGAAAGCAAATCCATCTCTTCTCTACCTAATACAAATAAGAAAACTACCAAAGAGTATCATTAATATCATATGCAAGTAAAATCTCGCTAATTACCAGAACTTCTTATCATAATACAGCAATACAATCTCTGTAAATGTTCATTAAAATTAATTTTAAAAAAAGACAGTAATACAGACACATCCCAACAGGACATCCTAGAAAACATCCCACCAATAGTCTTTAAAATAATAAATATCTGTTAAACTTTCACAGCAAAGACCAGTTTAATAAAACAGGAGAGGATTTGGGATAATGTGGTATCTAAGGGACTCCTGAAACAGAAAAGGGACATCAGGAAAAAACCAAGTGGCAGAGAGCATGGGCTTTACTTAATAAAGTCTGCATCCAACAATTGGAACAAATATTTCACAGTAATTAAGATGTTAATAATAGGGGGAAGTGAGTGGGGAATATTTAAGAACCCTGTATCATCTGAGAATCTAAAACAAAGTATCTTTATAAAGTAACAACACTGCTAACTGAAGGGGGGATATAGTCAATGGAGATGTTGGTAACAAAATAGTCACCTAGTTTCAGTACTGTAGTCCCTAAGGGGTTGCACTGTTAATTCACAATGATTGCCTCTCTGAAGTTTGCAGCTCCTCAGGAGAAAGACTAGTAACATTTTTATTTTTCTTCCATGTGATGTGCAGCTTTAGAAAGCCAAGTTCTGATTCAACTAAAGATCTTACAGTGATAACAGATTTAAGTCTTAGGCCTGTTATGAGCTCTAAAGGGACATTGGTTTTAATAACTGGCAGCAATCCAGAAATTTAGCAGCTCAAATTCTTCAGACTCTCCAAGGGAGAAGAGATCTGAAGATCTGCTCCCTAACACTGATGGTGCTCTAGGATGGCCTTTTAAGATCTTTGATTTGGAACCAACTCAAGAGCACACAATTCTTTGCATGAATTTAGGAAGATATTTTACCTTTTGCCAGTTTTTCTTTTCTATTTTGTTTTCTAACTGATTTTAACAGAGACAACGAATATTATTCCAATATTAACTTTGAAAATATCCACCTTACTTAATGTTTTTCCAGGTATTGAAGACCCTCAACAAGATGGACTGACACTGTGACTTTAACAAAGGGCTCTTTGTATCAGAGATGATGAGGTTGACTCAGAACAGAGCTGTTGTTCATAAATTTGCTATGAGTCACAGACGACTCAATGGCACCTCACAAGAAGTAATATTAAGAACTCCAACATTTACACTTTCTCTTTTTTCTCCTGTCTAATTGTATTATTATCTAGGATCTTGTGGAAAAGGATTTTAAAAATAATTTTTTTTTTTTTTAAGTATCCAGAGGCCTTACTATTAGCTTCCTCCCTGGCCTCCTGTCTTTAATGAGAATGGGCCTCACTTTCCCCAACCATTAAGCATGACGCTGGCTGTGGTTTGTAACACTCATCATTTACAACTGTTCTTACTACCAAGGCCTTTTCTAAAAAAAATCAGGAATTGATGCTGATATTTTTATTTTGCTAATGTTGTTAGGTGCCATCGAGTCATAAGCAACTCACAGTGACCCTAATACAGTTAATTTTATTAAAAACATTTCCTAACAAAACTATCTCTACTTCCTGACAAATTCAGTGAAGATCTATGTCCTTTCAACGTACAGTCATAACTCTCTTTGCTAAACAGAGACTGGCTTAATGTTAATATATTAGGGATACAGTATGTTTCTCAGACTGTTTTAGTATCAGTATTACAACAAATTATAAACACCTTACTTTACGCCATGGGTCAATTTACATGCATCACAATTATCCATTTCTTACTGATTCAAAACAATTTGTGAAATCAACCACGATTAGTGATTTCTTTGAAAATATAGCTTGCTGCCAGCTTCTATAGATGCCTTCTATATATAGATTTGTAGTCTGCCTGCTGATCCAAAAATTTTATTTTAATTTTCCTTAATAACTTAATTCTTAAATCAACTTTTATTTTCAGCCTTGTAAATGCTGTCAAAAACTGAATCTAGGTCTTAATGTATCCTCCCTAGTAAGATATTTTACCGAAAACCAAAACCCTTCCAAGTATCACACTTTATGGTAAAATACTGAAGCAATTCTTTCCAAGATCGTAAACAAAATATTATCACCACTTCTGTGCACTGTACAGTATTTTTTACTTCTGTGCACTGTGCAATGTTTTTCACAAGGCAAAAAAAAAATTTAAAAAAATAGACGAACTGCAAAGAATGAAAAACTTTACTCAATTATTTATACATAATTTATTGGAACAGAATTCCTGGATACAAAGGTCAATAAACAACAGTATTTCTACACACCAGCAAACAACTAAAATCTAAAGGGATAACTACTTATCAAAGCATCAAAAAACAAAGCTCTAGAAAGAAATCAAAGCAGGCAGAAAGAGAAAAGCTAAAAGCTAACTGGTAACGTCAAAGATCTAAATGAATGGAAGACTCATCACAATAATGAATTAAAAGGCACAACACTGTAAAGATGTCAATTCTTCCCAGACACTCTCTAGATGTGATCCTTATCAAACCTTCGATTATTTAGTTGTAAAGCTTTGAAAAGTGAAATTGAAAACTTATATATAGGTGTTAAAAAGCAACAAACAAAACAAGATATTACTGGACAAAGAAAATTTGAGAGGGTAAAAATGGACATACCGTGACAGTCTCTAAGGTCACACAGCAGTACTGACAAAAGACAAACAGACCAGTGAACAAAATAGGAGAGTAGTTTGGCAATATCCAAAGAGGGACTATCCAAGATTCCTACTGCTAAATAAAAGCCTGAAGAAATCCAAGAACATGTGTACCAGTGTACACACAGGAAGATTCAAAACGGCAAGCTAAAACAGCAACAGCACTAAATCTACTAATCAGGGAGAAAATAAATACCTTGTGCTATGTTAAAAAACGAAGTATTTTAATAGCAAAAAGGAATCAAACACAGCTATATACAGAGAATCTCTCAAAGTGGTGAAAACAAGTAGAATTCCATTACATAAAATTCAAATATAGTCAAAACTAAACAACATATTGTTTAGAGACACATACATAAGTAGTAAAATTTAAGAAAAACAAGAAAATGATCATAAAAGTCAGAATAAGCAGTTTACCTCTTAGGGAGAGAGAGGGAGTTGTGATCTGGTGGGGACACACAGGAGGCTTTAAAAAGGTACTGGCATCATCCTAACTTCTTAACCTTGGTGGAATTACACAGGTGTTTGCTTTATTATTTTTCTTTAAATTTTGCAAATTATACATTTTATACATTTGTTTACACATATTTCACAGTAAATTTTTAAAGACTACTTTCAAAAGTTAAAAATATCAACAGTCCAAAGTTTACTTCTACATGGAAATCAATACTTAATCACAACATCCTGAAGAAAGCAATTATCTGTATTCTCATAAGTAACAAAGTCTGAAGAAGAAAACATACCTTATACAGTCCAATGCCAGGATCAATAAGAAATGCACGAGCTGACGTCGATGGCTGAGTGGATGATCTCACCCTTGAGGTCTTCTTGACTTTAGGTGGGGTATTAGCAGGGGGTTTGACCTGTGCATCAGTCTCTTTAGATGTACTAGGAAGATCTGAGTCGGGGCGAACCAGTAGTTGAATTATATCATTCAGCCCCACATCATAGTCAAATAAAGTGTATCCATTTTCCAACTAGAAGAAAAATACAAGAAAAGGTAGTGAAGCATTTCTCTCAATGTCATGTTTCTTATATTTAATTTTCACCTGCCCCAGCTAAACTATTAAAACAGAGTTCATAGAAAGGCAATTTAGATATGAAACCCCTTCCTATTACATTATAGGGAGTATTGGCGGTCTAGTGGGCAAGGAGTTGTGCTGCCAATCCAAAGGCAGGTAGTTCAAATATGCCAGTTGTCCCATCACAGAAAGCTGGGTGAGGTCCTCCCATATGATTTACCTCCTCCGCAAACCTGCTGAAGAGTCAGCTCTGAGTCGGTTCCAACCCAAAAGAACATCACAAGCATTATATTAGAGCCTCTGAATGACATCAGCATCTTCTCTGGTTCCAATACATTTTTAAGAATCCCTCTCTGAGTTCTAGGGGATACTTCCAGGCATTGAAACAAAAAGTATACCTCATTGCACAGGCAGAAAAACCTTATAAACAAGAAAAAACACAGACCAACTGGTCCTGTGCAATTTTCAGTCTCCAAAAACTCACTGGAGGATCAGCTACGTATAGGTCAGTTCGGGCTCCATGGCAGTAGGTTTCAGTTTTGAGTTTGAAAGATACTTTTGTGATGATGGTTGTACAACTCTGTGAATACACTCAAACACTGGGTTGGCTTCACTGTAATGGCTCTTACTGGACATTATAGAATTTCTAAAGTAGAGATAAAACACATATCCAGTAATCTAGTATAACAGAGGAAGACACAAATAGGAACTTTTTAAAATAATGTTTATATTGGTTTGTTTACAAAGTTCATATACACTGTGTTCACGCTATTCCTCACGTGTTTCAAGTAATCATAATGGGAACTTTTTTTGGAAGTTGGGGCTCATAATCTAGCTATGACAATCTAGGTTATGAGCCTCTGTATCACCACAAACCACTTAAGAGAGGTGGTGATAACTGAGCATTAACAGGTTCCAACTACCAGAAAAAGATTTCTAAACTGAGCATGAGCTTCTCCATGACTTGTGCAGGTACAAGTATTAGGAAATCATCTTGAAATGGAAGGCTTTGCTCCGGCAAACAAAACCAGGAAGAAAGTCTTCAAGAGCACGAGCACTTAACTCATTCTACTTGATAGGGAAATTAAACTAGACAGCCATCTCACAACTTCAACCCAATTACCGAACAAGCCCAAGGAATCTCCCAGGACACTAAGGGGATGAGGCCATGCAGAGATCTTCAGACTGCTTATTTAAAAAAAGCCCCAAACCGCCCACAAATAATGAACCCTTGGAAATTCCAAGGAATGAACACACGAACACACACACACACACACACACACACACCCTTCAATCTGACATCCTCTGAAATCTAAAAATTAAGAACACCAATTCTGGAAAAATGCAACTAGCTGAAGCATGTAAATGCTGATTATGACAATTACTCCTGTAGATTGTTCAAAATAGAAAAAACCTGACAGCATAACACATCCTAACCAACAGACCAGGCATTCCCAAAAATGTAATAGTTACTGTAAATTTAAAGTGTGTCCAAGTTTCCAATTAAGTATGATGCATAACAAACAGGGGGGGACGAGGGGGTTACTGACATCTCTGACCAGTTTCTACAGACTGACTGGACAGGAGCAGACACACAAGCTGCTTCAAGCAAGTACTTGCTCTTCTGAAACTTAGCCTGACAGCAAGCATTGTTTAAAGTTAGAGTGAAACATATCAAGGAATAAAGCATAATAATAAAAGTTACACCAAAATTAACGTGTGACCACTCTTCCTCCAATTGGTCATGTTTGCAACTTGTTTTCATTCAAAAGTAGGTTTCAACCTTAGAATGATTCTCAAGTGGGTTTTAGAAGCTGTTCTCCCATGGAGGGGCTGGTGGATTCAAACCATCAACCTTTTAGTTAGCAGTTCAAGAGAAGTACAAGTGGGTGGCTTTAACATATAGACATCTGTTTTCTTGAAGCAAAACGTGTGAATACAGGCGTCAGTCGGGACTCAACTGCAATAAGTCCAATAAGTCTGAGTTTCTGTTTTGCATATATTATAAACAGGCAGTCCTTAGATTATAAACAGGTACTGTCCCTATTTGGAAGCAGGTGTAGCATCCACTTCCTAAACAACATGCCTCAGGAAACTATGAACTTTGATAAATGTCGACAGTTGTACAGGGGCTTCAGGCCTTTTGTTCATAGGGTCACTACGAGTCGTGCTCAACTTTAAGGGAATCAACAACAAAAAACAAATGTCCTTGTGGAGCTCTGGTGGCCGAGTGGCAAGAAGCTGTGCTGCAATCCTGAAAGCATGCAGGTGGAGGCCAAGGTGCTCTGCAGGAGAAGAATGGGCAACCTCCCATGTGATTAACTGCCTCTGAAAACCCACCAGAGGGTCAGCCATGGGTCAGTTCTGACTCTAGGGTACACAACAGCTCTTCCTATATCTGTCTTTATCTTGTACACAAACGGAAATCATTAGGTAGAGTACAAATCAGTCAGATGCTGTCTTAGAACATTTAGAATATACTGGTGGTCTAGTCAGCAGCAGAGTTGTGATGCTAATCAAAGTCCGTATCTTTCTGGCTGACTGAATCTACCAGCAGCCTCTCAGGACAGAGAAGGCTGCACGATTTGCTTCCTCCTGACCCCAATACTTGTATCATCTGCATCATGAGGTTGTTGAGGAATTTTTGTCCAGTTCTGAAGCCACATTCCTCATCATGGAGTCCAACTTCGTTAATTATTTGCTCAACATACAGTCTGAACAGGTATGTTGAAAAGGATACACCCTGATATATACCCTTCCTGATTTTAAACCATGCAGTGTTTCCTTGCTCCGTTCAGACAACGTTGGTTAAGGTATAGATTTCACAGGTGCACAATTAAATTTTCAGAGATTGCCATTCTTCCCAATGTCAGCCATAGTTTGTTATGATCCATACAGTCAAATGCTTTTGCATAGTCAATAAAACACAGACATTCCTCTGGTATTTTCTGCTTTTAGCCAGGATCCATTTGACACCAGCAATGATATCCCTGGTGCCACAAAACAATGCCATCAGTTTGAAGACTAAGGTGTGCCTAATTCAGGCCATGGTGTTTTAAATCATTTGCTACTTATCTGAAAGCTGAACAATGAGTTAGGATTACAAAAGGGGAACTGATATGTTTGAGTTGTAGTGTTGGAGAAGAGTACACTGACTAACCCGTGGACTGACTGCCAAAAGAATAGGTATACCTTGGGGAAAGTGCAGCCACATTGCTCCTTGGAGGCAAAGATGGCAAAGCGTCCTCTCTCTCATTCTTTGGACATGTTGTTAGGAAAGGCCACTCCTTGGAAAGAATTCTCTTGCTTGGACAGGTGGAGGGTCAGCAAAAAAAAAAAAAAGAAAGAAAAAAAAGAAAAACCCCAAATGAGATGAGATCACACAGTGACTGCAGCAATGGGCTCAGTCATCAGAGATGATGATTACACAGGACAGAGTTTAAGTGTGTTGTTTATATGGTCACTATGAGTTGTACTCTTACAATAACAACAACAAACCCAATGAGAGCTCTGGTGGCTTGCTGCTGTTCAATACCATGGAGCTGTTACGTGTCATTGAGGACGACTCACGGCATCTCTATGAACAACAGATTTGAACTCTGTTCTATCCTGGGTCATCTCTGATGCACTTGAACCCACTGCTGCAGTCACTATGTTAATCCATCTGGTTGAGGGTGGAACTGTGTAACCAACACAAAAGGACAGAGTTCAAATCCGCCAGCTTCTCTACAGGAGAAAGACAGGCAATGTCCTCCTGTGCAGTTTACTGCCTTTAAAAATCCACTGAAGCTATGGGTTAGTTTCAACTCAACAGTATACAACAACCGTACACAAGAACAAACAAACCCAATGAGTGTCAGTTATGAGTTGGATCCCTCTGAAGAACAATGAGAGCTGAGTTCTGCATTTAAAAAAAAAAATAAATCGGACTTCATATTAGATCTCTAACATAATGATACATTCCTAACAGTTTTGATGCACACTGCAAAATTGTGCCCTTTGCTATGTACCTCATAAATTGTTATGCAGACATGATTGTACTGTCTATTAACATAAAAAAAGAAAATCTATTCCCACATGGGATTAAAATGAAAGGTCTCTCCCTCCCTCAATGACATCCAGGTCAACCCTACATTGCATTTGGAGAAGCTGTAAATCACACACACGGAGCCTACCCATCTTTCTCCAGCAACTGGTGGATTCGAACCACCTGTCTTTTGGTTACAGTGCAACTCCTTAGCCACCAGGTCACAAGAGCTCTCTAAGATACAGAAGTCAAGGTTTCAACATACATTCAAGAGGGGAATACAATTCAATTCACAATACTGTGACAGCCGTTTTTCCATCCATTTCATCCAATCCTGTCCTTCACTTTCCGGTGCACGCGTACCCTCCTCATTTACTTACTACCTTCCAGGTGGATCCAACTCACAGAGGTGTCAGTGGGTTTCCACAAATCGCACGGGAGGAGACTGCCCAGTTTCTTCCCTCAGAGCTGCTGTGAGTGTGAACCACTGGACACACAGCCTTTGGATTAGCACTGCAATCTGCTACAGCTGAAGTCACCAGAGCTCCCTAAGTGCCCTCCAGTCTTCCTAAAGCCATCAACTATTGCACAGCAACAGTAAGTTCCTATAAAGGCAGAACAATGTGAATAGTTCCAAAAAGATGCAGAAATACTGAAGCTCTCTCAAGTTTAATAAAACTACAGAATGAATGTTATCCTTTCATCAAATCATTCTCATTGAGAAGAAAAGAATAGGGTCACTTAGAATTATAACCAATCAAAAGCTTCAGTAATATACCCTGTTAAATCACAGCAGTAATGTCTGATACGGTCATCCCAGAAGATGGGGATCCAAGATTTGTAACACTCAGGAGGCATGGATGACCCTAATGGGCCACGGTTGTTGTTTACTGTTGAGTTAGAATCAACCATAGCTCCAGTGGGTTTT